CTCCCAGCCTGGGCACGCGGGCCAGAGCAGCCAGTGTTTCCCTCAGCGCGTGCGGTGCCCAGCTGATGGGGCTCCAAAGCCAAGCCATTCCCAGGGACAGGCTGCCCTGCCCCCGGGCACTGCAGGAAGGAGCCCAGCACTGACCTTGGGCAGGGAGGCGCGGGAGCCGGCGCTCTGCGTGGTCATGGTGAGCACCGTGGTGATGCCCAGGCCCACCCGGGCTGGCGCCGCGTCCATGTTGATCCAGAAGGAGACCCAGGAGAGGATGACAATGAGTAGGCTGGGGATGTACATCTGGATCAGGTAGTAACCCATCTGCCTCTCCAGGTGGAACTTCACCTCGATGCAGGTGAACTTGCCTGTAGGGAAAGACGGCCCCAGTGGGCGAGAGGGACCCCTGGGCCATGGTGAGGGGGTGGCAGCAGGTCCCTGGGGTGCTCACCTGTGTTGTAGTACTTGGTGCAATAGCCCAGGTCCTTCTCATCCCTCAGGATGAACTGTGGGAGTGTCAAGCCCTCTGCCACCTGCACAGCCTCCTGCTCCTCCAGCCACTCGAAGATGAGGTCGTTCATAGTGTAGCCAACTGGAGGGGATGTAGGGAGCCATGGGATGGGGACATGTACCCTGTTCAACCCCACCCTGAACAACTGCTTTTTCCTGCTTATGTCCCTCAGAACAAGTGAGCTGCCAGCTTTTGGGATGGCATGGAATGGGAGGGGATGGGATGGGGAGAGGGAATGAAGCACAGCTTGAACCCCTCCAGGTACTCACAACTCTCCAGCTGCATGGTGCATGTCTGGATGTCCATGGGAAAGTTCTTGAGGTCCATGGGGCAGGACAGGATCAGCGTCAGCCTGGAGGAGGCAGAGGAAAGGAAGGAGTTGTTGGAGCTGGGGCTGTCTGTGGGGAAAAGTTGCCACAGGGAAGGCAAGAGGAAAGCTTTGCCTCCCCGCTCAGGCACTGCACCAAAGGGGAAGGTTCTACCTAATGCTGTAGAGCACATTGCCATTCTTGAAGATGCGCAGGAGCTTGTTGTCGGTGGTGACCTCGTGGAAATTGGCCCCTTTCTCATTGGCAAAGAACAAGTCTGGCTTCCAGATGGAGTCGAGCATGGAGGGGTCGAGGTCGAGGGAGTCGTCGGGGTACTCCCGGTAAGCCAGGCGGGGGTCGTTCCACTGCTGCCGCAGGAACACGTTCACCCGGTAGTCCTGGGACAGAGGGCACCACCTCAGCTGTGAGCACCCCGTGTGCCGGGGGGAGGAGGAGGAGGAGGAGGAGGAGGAGGAGGAGGAGGAAGGGACACAGGAGGAGGTGGAAGGGGCTGCCTCCATTGAGGCTGAGTTGCCCTGCTGTTGCTGTGTGCCTGCCACTAATAAAGAATGGAGCAGGGGCAGCTCAGGAGCCTTCCCGTGCTGTTGGCAGCCAGGGGAAATGAAAAAGCCAAGGTCACAGCAGCTGAGAGAAGGAGGAGGAGGTGGAAGACCAGTAACTGCTGCCTGCAGCATTCTGCACATGGCTCTGTGGGCTGTTGATAATATTAAAGCTTTTGCAGAAGCACAGATAGGACATTTTTGCCCTGGGACTTCCTCTGAGCATTCCTCATGCACCCAAGGAGGTTCAGGGTGGCAGGGGGTTACATCCAGCTGCCCCACTGTGACCCTTTGGGGGCTCTTTCTTCCAGCTCAGGCACAGGGAATGTGACCCACACAGCCAGGCCTGTGTTAGCTGAGCCCAGAAAAGCCACGGCCACGTGCTATGGCTTTGCATGTCCCCACTGGTGCCAGGGGTTGCTCCAGAGAAGGGGGCACAGTCAGCATGGCCTTGGGCACTGGGACCCACACTCTCCCTGGCACAGCCCCTGCCAGCCCCTGGGCACTGGGAGAGGCTGGCAAAACCCTCACCATGGTGGTCTCGGTGACGGAGCCAAAGCTGTTGATGAAGATGTTGCACGTCACATTGACGGGTGGACCTGGAAAAGAGCGTGAAGCCTCCTCTTGCTGCTGCTGCTGGGATCCGTGTGGGCACACACGGGGCACCGGCTCTGACCCGCACGGCGTGCCTGAACACACACAGACATCCCTCCTGCTGGGGCACCCCCGGGCTGTGGGGCTGAACCCCAGCACACCCCGCAGGCACCGCAGCCGCCCGCGCTGCCAGGCACAGCACAGAGGAGGAGTTGGGACAGGGATGTGGGTCAGGGTCCTGCCCCAAAGCCCCTGGGTTTGGGCAGCCATAAGCATGGATCTGCCAGGTTTGAACCCTCAGATCTTCCCTCTTACCTTTGAAGTTGGGTCGAATGCGGGCATCATACCCTGAGGTTCGTCCCATAAGCTTGTCCAGGAAATCAGAGGGTGACATGGGCTGAGGTGAGCTTCGGGAACCAGCTTTAATCTCCTCCCGCCCTGAGACCAGCCTGGGGGGCAGAGGAGGCGGGTCAGCTGCTGCCTGCTGGCACCAGCGGTCTGCGGGCACATTTGGCATCCCGTGGGGACACTCAGCTGCCAGGGCAGGCGGCTGTGCCTGTGCTGCATCCACTCCTGTGCCTGGTCAGCATGGTGGGGGGACCCCTTCCTTCTGCTGGGATCCTGGTGGCTTTTCCCTCACCTGCAACAGCCTGAGTGTCACACGCCCATTTTGCCTGTTCTTGCTCCACCCCATCCATTGGGATCAGGGGCCGGTGCCTCCTGGCTTCAGGGCTGTGGTGGGGACAGGGCACAACCTGTTCTGGAGGGGAAAGCAGGGAAGCTCCTTCTCAGGTTTCACCTGCAGCTCCAGCTTGAGTTGCTGAGCAGGCAATCAGCCACTGCCCCCGGGGCTGGGGGACACAACGGCCCTGCCCGAGTGACCAGTGTCCGGAGCACAGGTGGGTTCTGACACCCGTCTGCCAGGGGCCAAGGAGATGTGGCAGGAGAGGAGCAGCAGAGCCCACCTCCACACCAGCCATGGTGGTGAGCTCTCCCACACGGTGCTCCGAATGACGATGGAGATTTATTTAAACTGACTCTGGAGGGGATATTTTTGTGAATGCATCTTAGCCTGCCAGCTTCTCTCCTCCCGTCAGTCTAAAATGATAATTTCAAGGAACAATGCGAGAGATCTTCACTCACCACATTGCCAGGCATGTGGCTGTGATGGAGAGGAATTAGCCAGAGGTCTCTGGACACGAAAGGAGCTTTGAGCATGCTGCTGGCGCTGCAGCATGATGTCTTATAACTCTGCCAGGCCTGTGCCCAGGTGAATCTCACTCCTGCTTGGAGCTACAGCCACATCATTACAAGAAGGGAATGATGCTGGGAACCCCGTGGTCCTTCTTCCTACATCTCTTCAAGGTGTTGAAATTCATCCTAGAGGGTTTTATGGGCAGCCTCGCCAGCTAGAAATGGCCACAACCAAAATGTTCCAGTGGGACAGGTTTTCCTTTAGTTGAAGGGCAGCAGAGAGTACCTGAGATTCATCCTGATCAAGAGCAAAACGCTGGGAGAAATTCCCCACCTGGAGCTGCACGAGCAAGGTGTGGCTCCTTAAGAAGGGCTGCAAGAGGCCAGGCTAAGAAGGAGTTAAGTGAGGCTTCTGCCTACCACACAGCCGTGAGCCATGTCCCCCTCAACAGGAGAGGATGGTGAGGGTTCTCCCCTCCCCTGGAGCACATGCTAAGGGCTCCCAGGCTCCCTTGGCAGGTGGCTCCCTGAAGAGGCTCAGATAACTGGCTGAGCCACAATGGATCTGCAGCCCGGGGATGCTCAGACCTGCGTGGGGGATGCCAAAATGCCCAGAGTGCAGCCACTTCTCACGGCATCCCTGGCAGGGCCGTGCTGGAACGCAGCCCTTGCCTGCCTCAGCTCCCCACTTGAGGCACTGCCTGCCCCGGGGCCTCTGCCCCGACCGCAGGGCCCTGGAACTCAGCACCTCTGTGGAGCCAGTGGGTGCTAGGGCTGGAAAATGCTGATGTCTGCCTAAAAATGCTGCCCTGAGACAAGCAGTTCCTGCAGGTGAAGCAATTCTGTTTTACCCCTCCCTGCCATAAATGATGCAAATACCCTCGTGCTGCTCAGCCGTACTGGCCAAGTGGTGGGAGGGGGACTGGGATCAGGCTCAGCCCAGGAGTCCTGCAGCCCCCAACCCCTCCCTTCCTGAGCCAGTCTCCCCCGCATCCCACCTTGTCCCAGATAACACCCAAGGTGGACAGAGATGGAAAAAGGGACCTGAGAGCTTTAGATTTTCTACCCAAGTGGGCCAGGACTTGTTCCTGCACCCATGGGACCTGGGGCACCCATCCACTGTCCCGACTGTCCCGGGGTCTGGGTCAGGGTGTGTCCTGAGCTCTCCTCCCCGCAAACACCGTGATCCAGGAGAGGATCTGGACATCTCAGGGGCTTTGCAGCACCAGAGCAGGAGCTGTCTGAGCTGTCACCTGGCTCCGCTCGCCCTTTCTCCCATGGTGGCGAGATTCTCTGGCTGGCCCGGGGCTGGGGAACCCTCAGGGACTGCTGGGGACAGGCAGGGTCTGCTGTGTGCGGTGGCGGGCTGGAGGGGGAAGGTTGCTGGTTCCCCCGGGGTGCTGGGTCAGGGTCCTAGAGAATGGGGAGCGAGGCCAGATTTGCGGGAGGTCCAGCCAGGAGCTGGGAGCGTTCTGGCCGGGGCATCGGGCCCGGAGGCAGGTCCGGACTGGGGTCGGGATAAGGGTGCCGGGGCTCGGCCGGGTCTGAAAGGGGATGCCCGGGTCCCGCAGGAGAGATCTGTCTCCCAGAGGGGTGGTAGCCGGTGCCGGAGGGGACTCGCGGCTCCCGGGGGATGGGGTCCGGGTGCCGGGGAGCGGCTCGGGGAGCAGCGGTCCCGCGGCCCCGCGCAGCACCGAGCACCCGCGCCGTGCGCTCACCTGAGCGGGCCGCGCCGGGGCAGGAGGCAGCCGAGGAGGAGGAGGAGGAGGAAGGCGAGGGCACCGGCCCGGAGCGCGCCCATCCCGCCGCAGCCCGCAGCCCCGCCGCCCCGGGCGCACGGGCATGACCCGGCCGGCGGCGGCGGCGTCCCCGCTCCCGCTCCGCCGCACCGGGGCCGCTGCCGCCGCCGCTGCCGCCGCCCCCCGCCCGGTCCCGCTCCTCATAGTCCGGGCGCCCGCCGCGGGGTGGGCACCGGCCGCCTGCGGGCCCCGGGAGCCGGGCGGAGCTTCGCCCGCCGCGGCGGGGAGGAGGCGGGCGCGGCGGTGGGGGGCTCCGGTGCCCGTGCCCGCCTCCTCCCCGGCCCCTCGGGGCCCTCTGCCGCCCAGCCCGGGCCGGCCCGGAGCCGCGTCCCCCGAGGGGCTCCCGGGAGCGGGGAGGGAGCGACCCCGGCGGGGTTCGGGAGAGTCTCGGGGCGCGCCGGGGCCGAGGGATGCGCCGGGGCTGAGGAACGTGGCAGCGCTGGTGGATGTGCAAGGAACGCTCGGAGCACGAGAACCGCAGCGGATCAGAGGGCGTGCGGGGCTGAGGGATGTGCGGGCATCGAGGGCTGTGCAGGGGCTGAGGGATGTGCGGGCATCGAGGGCTGTGCAGGGGCTGAGGGATGTCCCCGAGGAACTGCCCGTCGGGTGGGGGAGAGCGGCTGGGGAAAACCGGGCTCCTAAATCCTTCTGCCTGGCCCTGCTGCGACCCTGTGCTTGCCTTTCCCAGAGCTCAGCGGATGGACGAGACCGTCCTGGGTGAGCTCCTTGGAGAACACAAGACCGACAGTCATGTCTGCGTGATGCGGGAGCTGCAGCGGCTGCCAGGGACGGGGAAACCAAGGCAGGGGAAGGGGAGCTGCCTGTGAACCAGGGGCTGGGCTGGGACTCGGGCTGCTCGGCTGCCTTTGCCCTGTCCTCTGAGGCCACCCGCTCAAGCCGCAGAGTCGCCTCTGGTCCGAGGCAATCTGTGATTCATTTGTAAGGAAGTAAATAGTATTTAAAAAAGATAAAAGTGCAGAATAAATGATTCCTGGCAGATATGTCAGTCAGGTTTCTGTTCACTCTGCTGTGGCTGGCTCATCTCATTTATTTGTATTAATTGCAGTCTGGTAATGGCTGGGAGCTGCTCTACAAAGCCATTGCTGCGGGGATCCACAGAAGAGGACCTCAGTGTGTAAGGAGAGGATGGGGCCCCTGTGCCTGCTCTCCCCAGGGAAGCAAGGGGCTGCACAGGACTTGGAGAGGTCCCCAGTGGATTTGCTGTGGGAAGGCAGAGTGGGTGAGGCTGTCTGTGGGCAGCTGACCCGGGGTGCTGGCCCAGCCCAGGGCACAGGGGGCTGGCACAGCAGGCACTTGGCCCGAGGCGGCGTGCAGGGGTCCTCATCCCCTCTGATGGGCTCTCCCAGCACCAGGAGCTGGGAAAGTCTCCTCTGATTACCGTTGCCATTAATGTTTACGGTGCCACGGTGCTGGGAGGCGCAGGGCACAACGTGGAGCCCCAGGGAGCACAGCCAACGCACACGGTGTGACAGCTCCTCTTCCTGACACTGTCCGAGCTAAGCGGACCTGACACTGCTGGGAGGAGGGAGCCAGTGCACCCTCTCTGCTCTCTGGGGAAACTGAGGCACTGGCATGGTGTCCCTGCAGCAGCTGAGGGGCCTGAGGATGGTCAGAGCGGCTGTGGGGCCAGCGGGTCAGGTGCCAGGAGCGTGGGAGCTCAAGGCAGCCAGCTCCATGCCCTGAGTGCCCATGCTGCGGTCAGGATGGGCTAACAAGGCTCCTGGAGAGGCCGGTGAAGCCAGCGTGGCTCCCTGCCGGGCAGCACTGGGGGGGATGTGCAGCCACAGCCCTCCTGCCTGCCTTGCAGCTCTGCAGGCAGCCAGCACTGCGAGGAGGTGCTGAAAATGAGCTCTGAGAAAATGAAGGAGCGAGCATCCCATCAGGGGGGCGAAGGCAGTGCTGATTCCTTGCTGGCTGGTCGGGGGGATGGAGCAGGAGCTGCACAACCCCGGCAGTGCCCAGGGGATCTCAGGATGGCGCCTCATCCCAGCCAGGGGATTTTTAGGAGTGACAAGAATAGGCTTATCCCCCATGTCGCTCAGTTCAAAGCATGAGGTGGTTTTTCTGTAAACAGACAGGATTGCAGCCGGCAGGCAGCAGTCAGCGTTGGGCTGCAGGCATCCACCACCACACTGCCCTGTGGCTGCTCTCCCCAGAGGCAGCCAGGCTGGGCAGGGGCAGGGGACGAAGGCCAGGGTCTGATCCAGTGGCTGCCAGCCTGGTGCAGCCCCCGGGGATCCCCCTGTCCCTGTCACCGTCAGCCCCCGGGGGATCCCCCTGTCCCTGTCACTGTGCCAGGCTCTGCTAACAGGAGACATGCAGGCAACAGAGGTTTGCTCCGATGAGGAGAAAAGCGGGATACCTTTTTTCCTTTTCCCTCCACTCTCTGAGTTCACATCAAACTGCTTCTTTGAGGCCAGACACTTATCTGGTGTGGGAGTCCAGGGCTTCCCTCTGGCTGCCCTGGCAGCTCTGGGACCCTGGCAGGGGTCAGGAACCCCCCTGGACAGAGCCCCCAGAGACACTGGCTGTGATCTCTGTCCCTGGAGAGGAGTTTTCAATCTTACAGGATGAATTACAAGCTCTGAGTGTTTGATATAAGTAATAATTAAGTGTGACACGAGTGCAAAAGTAAAATTTTAGGATTCTAGATTAGGGGTTCAGAGGGGACAAGATGGAGGAAATTGGGTGTGTCTTGTCCTTTTTCTCCTTCTTCATGCCCTCCATGTTTCACTGTGGTGTTGGCATTTTTCTGTTGGTTCAGGCTGGGGACACACTGTTCAACGTAGGTGACAGATATTGGCACGTTATTGTAAATCCAGCACAGGTAGTTTGTGGTATTTAATGTTTGTAACATCCCACTGAGGGCAGAGCCCCACACGCTGCCCTGCAGGACAGAGCTGCGGCAGGGCAGCAGAACATGTTAGAGATAAACAGAATAAACAACCTTGGAACAGCACAGACCAATTATGGCTTCTGCTTTGGCAGCGGGGCTGACAGACAGAGACTTTCTACAATCTGGGAATCACCAATACCCACAGATTCCGACAACCTGCCTCAAATCTGCCTGGCTCCAGAGCCTGGAGAAGGGCTGTGCCAACCCACACTGCCTGTACCCCAGCCCCTCTCTGCTGCTCAGCCCCACAGTGCCACATCTCTAGATTGAATCCTGTCTGATAAATGAAACCCTGAGGTGTATTTGCAGACAACGCCATTCCAAGGTGGGAGCAAATCATTCAAGCCTTTGAAAACAGGTTTGGGTTTTTTTCCAAAGGAAAAGGTTCAGTTGCTTAAGCTCAGTTTCAGGATAAAGACCAGCTTTGTGCTATTTGTGTTGAGGGGTGAGGGAGAGGAAGGACAGCAGTCAAAGGAGCGCACTTTGCTCTTCATGTAGCACAAAGTCATCCTGCTGGTTCCCACTCATCCTCAGTCCCTCCTTTGGAGTGTGCACAGATTTGCCTTTGCCCTGAGCCAGGAAGACCTGAAGCATCAGGAGGGACAGAAGCTTCAGGTGGCACAGGTTTGTGGTGGGCTTTGAGCAACCTTCTTCAGCAGGGTCACTTGTTCTGGGGAGGGCTTGGGAGCAGCTTAGAGGCAGCTCCTGGTTTGGGGGCATTGCTTGCTCTGTATCTTTCAGCCCCAGACATTGTGAAGGGCTGGCACGTGGGCCAGGACAGGATAACAGCTCTGCAATTCATCAGACACACAGTCTGATGCTCTGGGAGGCTGTGCTTCTTGTAATTAGAAAGCACCACATCACAGGCACCTCCATTCTGTCTCCTAATTCTCTCCTGACTTCCTCCCCTTCTCCCAAGGCTCCCAGCCAGCCCAGCCAGCTCTGGACATCTTCCTGTCTCTTTTTTCCCAGGACTGGGATTTTCTTTTGCCGAAACCAAGGTGTGAAATAGAGCTGCTGCGTGCAGAGGGCTCTGCCAGCCAGCCAGCGTGCAAGGGCTGCTGTGCATTCTCTGGACCAACTGCTTAAATGCTTAATGAGCCCTGGGGAGCAAAGCAGTCCTTGTGAAAGATTCAGGTTCTCTGTTGCCTTCAGTTTAGGGCCATGTCAGTTCTCCTTTCCGTTTTTTAATCCTCTGACAAGTGAAAATAAGGGAGAGCAGGCACAGTCTCATCACTGTTTCTAAGGGAAGCAGCAAAACCAAAAGGAAAACCCCACGTGCCTGCACTCGGGGAGAGAACACCCCCTCCACCCTGGGGGGACATGGAGGCAGACTCCCCCAAAGCAAACATTTTGAGGCATTTAATGGGGTGTGAAATTAATGCTGGAGAAAACACATTCTCATGCGTGGCTGTGCACTGCTGCCCGGCGGGAGCCCCGTTTGGACACTGTGCTGTCATGTAATGTCACTGCTTCTGCAGTGTCCTGCTGGTGCCTGCCTTTCCCTGGGGAAGCTGTGTAATAGGCTGTGGGTGCCTCCTTTTCCCAGCAGGAGCAAAAATCTGCTCTCGCTGCAATAAATGGTGAAGGGATGAGTGCTGTAGTGCTTTGATGGAGGGGCTGGGGCCCCACTGGCACCAGAGCGTGGGCAGAGAGCCCAGACATGCCCCTGTTCCTTAGCAGGGCAAAAGGCACTGGGCTCAGGTGTAGCCACCAGAGGGACAGGGCAGGATGCTCCTCCCTGTGGCCTGGGCTATTTGGAGCTGCTCCTAAAGGAAGGTGGCACCGTGGGGCAGGAGGAAGGGACAGGTGGCACTGGGGACCCCAGTGGGGTCTTGGTGTTTCTGCAGCAGCGCCAGCAGGACCCAGTGCCTCAGCAAACAGGGCAGGGTGACCCAGAGAGGATTGCAAGGTGAACTGAGCCCTTGGTCCCAACTCCAGCAAATGTTGCTCTATGATTTTGTGGCACTTTTCCAGGCTAAAAATACCCCTGCTGCTGGTGCTGGGGTGGGCTGTGTGTGCAGGCTGGGGAGGGATCTCTGTGCTGCAGGACTGGCCAAGGGCAGCTGGAGCACCCGGCCGGGCTGGCCCTGCCAGCAGCCACGGCTGCCCCTCCTGCTCCGTGAGCAGCCAGGCGCAGAGGTCACCTCTCCTCTGGCTCCAGATGACCTGGCACCTCTCCTCAGGGCTGTGCCAGATGCAGCTGCTCATCCATCAGTCCCCAAAACACTGCGTGGGGACAGAGCATCCTCAGTGAGCGCTCTGCGCTGCGTGTCAGGCCAGCACTGGGTTCTCTGCTGATCCCAGAGGGTCACTTAGGCTCAGCTGGGGCCTCCTCAGGGGTGGGATGTTGCAACTGGGCTCATTTTCCTAAGGAGGTGTCGGAATCTGTGGTATTGATGATTCCGAGATTGTAGAAAGTCTCTGTCTTTCAGAAGCAGAAGCCATAATTCGTCTGTGCTGTTTCAAGGTTGTTTATTCTGTTTATCTCTAACATGTTCTGCTGCCCTGCCGCAGCTCTGTCCTGCAGGGCAGCGTGTGGGGCTCTGCCCTCAGTGGGATGGTACAAACATTAAATACCACAAACTACCTGTGCTGGATTTACAATAACGTGCCAATATCTGTCACCTACGTTGGACAGTGTGTCCCCAGCCTGAACCAACAGAAAAATGCCAACACCACAGTGAAACATGGAGGGCATGAAGAAGGAGAAAAAGGACAAGACACACCCAATTTCCTCCATCTTGTCCCCTCTGAACCCCTAATCTAGAATTCTAAAATTTTACTTTTGCACCCATGCCACACTTAATTATTACTCTTATCAAACACTCAGAGCTTGTAATTCACCCTGTAAGATTGAAAACTCTTTTCCATGGACAGAGATCACAGACAGTGTCTCTGGGGGCTCTGTCCAGGGGGGTTCCTGACCCCTGCCAGGGTCCCAGACCTGCCAGGCCAGCCAGAGGGAAGCCCTGGATTCCCACAAGGAGGCACAGCGAGGTGAGGCCTGAGGACTCAGCCCGGCATTGTGGTTGTGGGGCTGCTGCATGTGCTAAGGAGATGTGCCCCCAGACCCTCCATACAGCTGTGGGGGGACATCACTGG